ATTTTTTTATGTTTATTAATGTTTCAAGAGTTAATACTTTTTTTATTTCAACTTATTTTTTCCTTGAGAATGATTTACGCGCTTTAGTTCCATGCATTGTTATTTTTTGTGTATATTTACTAGCAAATAAAGGTAATTTTTTATAAGACACGTGATTTTTTATTCAGCAAATATAATAATAAAATATTATCAATAATATGTTAAATAATGTAACAAAACTATAAAAAAAAAAAAATTGTTGAAAACAAGATTTTTTTCGGTCCATTAGTTATGTGGTCCCAGGGACGTCAGGACGGTATGTACGCATAAAAATTTCACCACGCCAGTTAAGGGTTAATAATTGGTGGAATTGAGGGAAATGTTGAATAAGATTTTGGCAACTGAAAATAAATTTCATCAAATACCTACATAGGTATAATTAAAGAAATATACCTATTTTATAATTACACCAACTTGTGGCTCGTTTAGGCCAACAAAAATTGGACCGAGCAACTGTAATGCCCTCTCCTCAAACGGAGTCAATACTTTCGTAACTCCTAAACCACCTCCTGTTTTAGTTTGCTCCTTTTTAATTTCCGCAGCTTTTTTCTTTGAATTATATTTCATGTCAGTCCATGTCTGAAAATATAATAATAAAGTTACACATAGATAAAACCATTCATATTCAAGTATTTATCTCTTTTCAATTCATTATATTTCTTAATCAAGGGTTATGATATGTAAAATATACTTACCTATTTTTTAAACTGGAATTTTTTTGTGAAGTAGCATCATTTCATACATAAGAGAGGTCTGTTTCTGCAGAAATCACAAACCAGTCAGAGTGAATTTCATTGGTTGAAATTAGTTTTCTGACTGTTTCTGACTGTTTTCAACCAATGAAATTCGCTCTGACTGGTTTGTGATTTCTGCAGAAACAGACCTGGTATTTCACTTTGAGTCCGACGAATGCAACAATGGTTAGTTTTAGTTTTTACCAGTTTTGTTTTTGACGTTGTCCAATTGAAAAATAAAAATTGTCAAATAATTTACTCCACTTCTCCTATCTTTTTCGAATTAAAATAACCTGCAGTAATTACAAATAACATAAGGTGCAGCAGCTCTTTCAGCAATAACATCTCGGTTCTTTTCTAGGAAATCAAGAATAATTTCCAACTGCTTTGGATACAGAATTTATTTGTGGAAATTTGAAACAGTTTAATTTGAAATTTGAATGACAAAACACAAAACAAATACTTATTCACATAATAGTCCAGAAGGCAGTGAAATTTATTAGCACTTATTTTCCCAGTTGGTGTATATTAAATTGTTCTCTTGGTGATATAAAACAAGAATATTTGTTTCCCAAAAATTTTCGGATGGATTCACAAGATTAATGAAAAATACAAGTACACCTATTTTCTCAGTCATAAATATTTCACATTCACTACAATAGAAATAAAGTACATGAAAATAGCAATTTGGCTTATCTCAGATAGTGGAAAGTGAGTCTGGCTGAAATTTTCCGGATCTTCAATTTTTCACTTGCCAGACGTATTATCCATACTCACAGATTAGCCGGACTATTTTTTCACGTAACTTCAGTATACTTCTCATTAGTAGAATGAAAACTATACGAAAAAACATGAATTTCTCTTTTTTCCTAAATTTTTTCCTGATTCCATTTAAAAAGATTTTGAAAAATTAATTTAACATTCCCATTGTCACTTTTTTTTCTCTACAAGATTGAGGATGGCCGCCTGAAGACGAAACTACGAATTTTAAATTTAGTAGCACCATCTTCTAAAAGTGACAATAATGAAGTGACATTTATTTTAAAATTGCTTTTCAAATATGCCCGGGAAAAAATAAAAACGATTTTACAAAATTTCGGTTGTTTTCCGAATATCTCCGGAAGTATTCGGAATCTTTCTAGTTTCAAAACGGCATTCTATTGGTCATAAAATTGCGCAACTTTGCCATAATTTAACCGACCCCGTATCTCATACGGTTACCGGATATCCCAATGATGAGGTTCGAATTTGGGCCATCCTGTACAATCTCGTTGAATATGTCCAAGCTTATGGCACCAGTAACATTCTACCCGGTTTCTCGGTATTGGTGTTTGTCTGGAGTCGTTTCCCGTTTTTCTACTTTCTAGTAATAGTTTCTCTATTCTCTCCATGAAATTACTCATAACATTCTAAAAGCTACCATCCTCTTTCGATTATTGTTTATTCTTTGGGTCTTCAATGGACACTGCTCGTATTCTGGGTCGTGAGGCACCAAAGATTGCTTCCAGTTCCAATGCTCGGACAAGGGCTTCGCTACTTTGTCTGAACTAAGACATTCTCAGGTTTTCCTGGATCTTGGAATCTCTGAGACCATCAATAAACGCAGATACTGCCATCCATTTTTGCATATCTTCCCCAGCTGCAGGAAATGCCAAAATCACTAGCCTTTTAACTTTCGATTCGAATTCTTTCAAACTCTCGCCGGGTTTTTGAATTCCTGATTTAAATTGAGTTCTAAATACGTCTTGTCTGTAATGGTCTCCGAAGCGCAATTCTAATGTCTGACTTAGATGCTGGTAATTCTTGTTAACTTCCCGAATAAATTAAACAACAATTTGCACTACTAGATAAAGTTTTTAATTATAAAAATGGAAAATTACTTTCTAATATAATTTTAGCAACACATTTTCTTTTGGCGCTTTTTCTTGACACACTACTGTATCGACATTTGACAAAAGACATTACTAAATGACATTGCATGAACATAGCCACAGATGCTGGCTTTAACTACTGATTGGTTTTCATAAATCTGAATTGTTCTACTCTAATTGCTCCAATCAACAATTCTGTTGGTAGATTGAAGAAATGGACTGAAGAAGATCTCAGGCAGGTCCTCGTAGTGCCACTATCAGCATTGTTGCTTTTTCTTAATCATTCCATCCGTTGGTATTTGCAGCAGCTTCAAATTGTCGGATATACATGGTCCAGGACGCAGAGCCGTCAAAAGCTAGTGGTTTTATTTTCATACTAGAGAATGCCCAAAACTAACTGGATTGATGGACTGTATTTCTTATTTATTCACCTTATCTTCAAGTGCTTGAACTTGGTCCCCAACTTCTTCTTTCAATTGCTGAACGTCGGCTTTGACATCAGCTTTTACTTCCTGAACGTCGTTTTTAACTTCTCGAACATCTTCTTTAACTTCGGCTTTTACTCCCGTAATCTGTTGTTTTAGGTTAGCGACAAATCCGTGTAGGTTTTGAAATATTTTCTGTAGGTGTCCAAAATCATCTTGCCGTTCTTTTTGTCGCCTGGCCTCTCTGTCCTGTTTTTCTTGTTGCCGTTTAGCGTTATCTTGTTGTTTTTCTTTTTGTCGTCTGGCCTCTTCGTCTTGTTTTTTTGTTGTCGTTCAGCCTCTTCTTGTTGTCGTCTAGCTTCTTCTTCCTGTTTTTCGTTTTGTCGCCTAGCCTCTTCGTCTTGTTTTTTTTGTTGTCGTTTGGTTTCTTGAACTTCCAACATTTTGCGCAGAAGTTTTTCAACTTTTTGTTCTTCCATTTTTGCTTGTTGTCTCGTAATAGGCATATACAGAAAGTTCTAGAATTTGCCTCAAACTTTCTTCAAATATCTTTCCTGGTCTTTGCTTGAAGTTCCAAATACGCCCGTGAAATCACAAATTGGACAACTAGTTTTATTCTCGGATAGAATGCTAGAATTTTCTTGAAATGTCTTTTTTGAATGTCGATTGATATAGTAAACACGCCGGTGAAGTCACAAATTGGTTTCCAAATAGAATGTTCTAAAATTTTCCCGAAATTCTTTTTCTGAATGACGATTGATGTATCGAATACGTTGGCGAAGTCAGAAATTCGATATCTCCCTTGGTTTCCAAATAGAATTTTCTAGAACTTATTTGAAAATTCACTATCATAGTTAAAATCGGGTATACAGTCATTTTCGGGTTAATTTACACGATCGGTTAAGTCTCTTTTTGTGATTGTCACTGCTTGCACTGACTTACTGTCCCAGTGTTCACTTAGTGTCCACACTACACTAGTGTCCCCACTATTCTGCAATCAGATTTCACTTTGCAATCCTCGAATTATATCTCACTTCTGACACCAATGTCACGGCTCTGGGGTGCGTAACAGAAATCTTGGGTTCGTTTATTCTAAAATCAAAGTGCAATTAACACAATATTACAATATTAATTTATTCCACGTTACTACACACTTTGACACTAATTACTTCACTAATTAACTCAAACAACTTAACTCTTTACAACTTTTACAAAATTCACTATCTAAATCGTATCACAGTCAATCTTAAACTTAAAAACTACTAACTTATACCGGCCTTTATATATTCGTAAACAATTCTTGTACAATCCAGAATAAACGTGATAGCCTTTTTTCCTGAATGAATCAGTATTTTCTAGATTTTAGGTTGGATTCTCGACACCCTGGCGGATGGGCTGTCACAATATGTCTCTTTTACTAGCGATATCGTTGTATATGTGACATATTTGTAACATTTTCGGAATCAAAGCATAATATTTTTTTCATGATCTTACGTTTGAAGATAATATTTAATTAGTTCTTGTCTGCTTTGAACATGAAATAGTTCTAGTATTTTTGAAACAATGAGTCGTAAAAATAGTTCATGTTCTCAAAGTAGAGTAGATAAGAATAATAGTGGAGCAAGTATCCCTAAAATATTGTTATGGCCCAATGGATCATACGGTGTGCGACCTTACCGAATTTCGGTTTTTCCTAGGTTGGGATCATTCTGCACAATCTGGCAGCGCCGCATGGAGTACAAAAACACAACATAAAATTTATCCAATTTCGAGAGAGTAGTCTCGTTAACAAAATATCGTACCAACGACGTTTTTTGTTATTCAGTAATAATTATTATAATATGCAAGTGATAATTTTCAATTGGTACTTCAAGTTATTTTTATGATTATTTTTTTGTAATGCAAAAATACCTAAATGCTATTGTTCTCACCAATATTTAATGTAGGATCCATATAATTTATACACCAATCTAGAAAAGTCCTCAAAATAATCAACAAATTGCGGATTGAGGAAACCTCCCAGCTCGTAAATATGTTGGGGCATGTCCCAATGGTAAATGGTTACCATCGGTTCGATGTTTTCTGCTTTTAATGCCTAGAGAATTGTTTAAATTTTTTTTACAACCTTTTTTTGTCACTAAAAGGTACCCAAGAGTTACTTACTTGAATTAAATTTAGGTAATAGTCGATGCCCTCTTGGTTAATGTTATTTAGAGTACCATTCGGAAGGATACGAGGCCAGGAAATTGAGAATCTATTAAAGTAAAAAAATATATATACAGGGTGTCCCACAATCAGCGTTACAGGCCATAACTTTCTTATTTTTAGAAATAAAAATTTGAAGAAAAAAAAAATGACTAATGGTTAATTAAGCTCTCTTCAAAAATATAAAAAAATCTTCCCCTGACAAAAACATCCCCTATTTACAACCCTTCACTGTTTTTTTTTCAAATGGCACCCCTAATTTTTTTTTTTTTATTTTTGAAAAGTTCATGAAATTGCAAATTCAATGATGTATGAAAAGTTTGTTTTTCCATGTTTCGTTGGAGAAAAAAAATCAAAAATGAAAATAATAATAATGGGGTTCTATTTGAAAAAAAAGGCAAGAGTTGTTTTTAGGGGGATGAGTTTGTTGGGGAAGATTTTTTTAATATTCTTGAAAAGGGGTTAATTTGCATACAATCAATTTCTTTTTGTCATATTTTTATTTTTGTAGACGAAAATGTGATTGCCTGTATAAGACGAAGGGTGGGAAATCCATTTTTTTCCCCCAAGAGACATGGAAAAACAAACTTTTTATACACCATACAAATTTGTAATTTCATAAGCTTCTCAAAAATAAAAAAAAATAATAGGGGTGCCATTTGAAAAAAAAAGTCAAGGGTTGTAAATAGGGGATGATTTTTTCAAGGGATGATTTTTTTATATTTTTGAAGAGAGCTTAATTAGCCATTAATAATTTTTTTTGTTTCAAATTTTTATTTTTGAAAATAAGAAAGTTATGGCCTGTAACGTTGATTGTGGGACACCCTGTATATATATATATATATATATATATATATATATATATATATATATATATATATAAATTTTGTCTGTAATCCATGAAAAATTGAATGAATAATAATAAAGATAAATATTTACCTGTAAAAATCTAGTCCAAGAGCTTTAGCATTTGCAACATCCTCTTGCCATTTATGATAAGAATCACAGGCGACGTCACCATTTTCAGTTGCATCTGAAATAATTATCACTCTATAAGTCAATGCTTGAATATAATAGTTATTTATGTATCAAGGGTACTAAGTAGATGATTATGCCCTGAGGGCGACAGTCTTACAAAGCCGAGGGCCTCTGGCCCGAGGGTTCGTAAGTCGCCCGAGGGTATATATGTCGCAGGCTTATTGTGAAATCAGTCTTATTATAATACGCCTAGGCTTTTTTATTACGACTAGGCGTATTACACTACTACCCAAATAATTAGGAATCACACAATTTGACTGATAATTTTAGGCTTATTATAATACGCCTGCCGCTCGCTAGTCTTATTGTTAAAATGAACCTGCAAGCGATTATTTTCCAATCTGACTAAATAAAATTCATCGTATTATAATACGACTGACAGTGTGTCAGTCGAATAATAATAATAATTATTTTTGAAAAATTAAGAACTCTTGATATTGCAATTGAAGTTCCTAAAGTAAGTAGATAGAGGAGTGGACCACTGGACCCCAAAAATATATTAGGAACTGTAGTGAGTAGTGAGTAGTAAGTATTATGAATGAGGTTTATGAAATTGGTACCATACACGGCTTGTTGAATCGATGGTTTTTAAGAGAAGAAATCACTGACTGCCAAAGTAAGTGTCATAACAATAAATGTTTATGATTTAAAGCTCATATGAAATGTAGTAGCAAATGCCATGAAAGCGGATCATGGTCTAATAAATAATTCAAATCTATAAATTGTATTTTATATAGGTAATTTAAACTCTTCAAAATTTATGTTAAAGTACTGGGTGTTCACAGATACATGTTGCGCTGAAGGCTAGCTTTCCTCTTAGTTATGCTACAGAGATGAAATTTGGAAAAAATACTGAAACCTTGGTAATTTTAATGTCTATTTAGCATAAAGAATAAGAAAGTTAGTGTTCAGCACAATATATCGGCCAAAAGGCGCATTGAAAGTTTTATCCAATACAATTCGCCTGGTGTGCGCCATTAGTCGTATTATAATACGACGGATTTCATCTAGACGGATTCTAACGCAGGTTCATTTTGATAATAAGACTAACACGCATCAGGCGTATTATAATGCGACTGAAATTACTAGTCTTATTGTGAAATTCTTAAGTATTTGGGTAGTATTACAAAATGCCTAGTCGTATTGAAAAAGCCTAGGCGTATTATAATAAGACTGATTTCACATTAAGCCTGCGACATATTATATATCTATTAGTACCCGTGGTGCATACAAACTTTTATGTCATACCAGTTGGTTGTGAATAATAAATACCTGGGAAAAAAGTGTCACTTCGCAAATTGTCATCAGTGTGCAGAATCATCATTTTTTGACAAAAATAATATGTTTATAAGCATAAATTTATATTTTGTTAATAAATAATAAGTTAATTGAAAACTGTTTTTTGCGTCTTTATGCCCGCGCGGGCCATAATGGGTACTTTATGCCCGCACGGGCATAAAGTAATGAATTATGTAGATGGTATCTAAGGTATAAAAACACAATAATGTATTGGTATGACATAAAAAATCTTATTTACTTTGGTTGTGTAGATAGGTATCCCATAAGCTCGGTCCTTTACCACCTTCATTCCATGCGCCCTCAACTTGGAAAGCTGAGGTTCCAGTGCCGAGTAGGAAGTGGTCCGGAATTTTTTTGACAGCAAGCGAGCTAAAAATAATAAAAAAATTATCTAGGCTTAATATATATTAAGCTAAAATCTGTTTCAGGTAAAATCTTAGAAACACCCATACAACAATATTTTATTACCTTGTCACTAAAGATGCTATTAAAAGCACACACTTGAGCATAATATTTTTGTTCAAAATCAATTATTGAAGATTAAATGAATTCATGGATGCCGCTTGTTTATATGTGAATTTTACTGATAAATTTTTTTATGCTAAAAATATTAATAAGTAATTAGTGTTATCTACACAAATTATACCTAAATGATGAAAATACATCTCAATATTCACGGAATATTGACGGATCATTATAGGCATGTGACCCCATATTAGGTCTTGAATACATTCTATATCAAATCCTCATAGTCTAGGAAAATTGTCGATTTTCAAAAAAAAAATCCTACCCAAAAGAACTTTTCAGGGATGATAGGGGGAGGGTGGGCGATCATAAAACCGAAAATATCAAACATTCACCCCTCTGGCGTTTTGCGCTATAGGGGTTGAAAGTGCGCCATTGGCGATTACTTGGTACCTATTGATTTTACAAAAAAATGTTTCAAATAAAAGATGTGCAACATTATTTGATCTACAATGTTTATCTAAAGACTTTTTTGATTAAGGGCCGTCTGTGGTCATAAGGGCCGTTTGAAATTTTATAATGAAAATGAAAAATTTTAACCAACGTGAAAAAATTTTCTACAACTCATACAACATTTTTGCTTTATGAAGTTTTTACTCACCCCCTGCCGTTTTTCAATAGGGGTAGTTTAAAGTTTTTTTATTTTTTTACAAAAAATTTTTCTTAATAAAAATTTTATAAGATGACATTTCCTACAATTTTTCCTAATCAACTTTTTTTTTAACTCACCCCCATTCAGCGGGGGGACACTTCCCTCGGGAAAATTTTAGTTTTTAGGGGTATATATTAATTTTTGTTTTCTTTTCTCGCCTTTAGTGCACATAAAAAGTTGCAATTAACATTGTATTAAAAGGATTTTTTTTTTTCATCACCTTTTTGTTTTTAGGGGTAGTTCGCCTATTTCCAACTTAACAAAAAAAAATTACTAAGAAAACTTGTTCATTTTATTACTTTGAGCAACTTTTTTCTATAACTTTTTTTTGTAAAGTTGAAAATAGGCGAACTATCCCTAACAACAAAAAGGTGATGAAAAAAATAGTTATTTATGATATAAGTGCTAAAAGTGACATTTTATTTTGTGAAAAGGGAAGTTTGGGACACGACGCCGAAGGCGGAGTGTTCCATCCCTTTGAACAAAATAAAATCACTTTTAGCATGAATATCATACACTATTTTTTCTACACACGCACTAAAAGTATTTACTTTTAGCACTAATGCTAAAAGTAATCACTTTTAACACCAGTGTCATAAAATGGCATTTTAGACACTGACAGCATTCGTTAAAAAGAACACTTTTAGTGACGTTTGTAGAAAAAATCCTTTTAATACAATGTTAATTGCAACTTTTTATATGCACTAAAGGCGAGAAAAGAAGAAAAAAAAAAATATATATATACCTCTAAAAACTAAAATTTCCCCGAGGGAAGTGTCCCCCCGCTGAATGGGGGTGAGTTACAAAAAAAGTTGATTAGGGAAAATTGTAGGAAATGTCATCTTATAAAACTTTTATTAAGAAAATTTTTTTGTAAAAAAATAAAAAAACTTTAAACTACCCCTATTGAAAAACGGCAGGGGGTGAGTAAAAACTTCATAAAGCAAAAATGTTGTATGAGTTGTAGAAAAATTTTTCACGTTGGTTAAAATTTTTCATTTTCATTATAAAATTTCAAACGGCCCTTATGACCACAGACGGCCCTTAATCAAAAAAGTCTTTAGATAAACATTGCAGATCAAATAATGTTGCACATCTTTTATTTGAAACATTTTTTTTGTAAAATCAATAGGTACCAAGTAATCGCCAATGGCCCACTTTCAACCCCTATAGCGCAAAACGCCAGAGGGGTGAATGTTTGATATTTTCGGTTTTATGATCACCCACCCGTCCCCTATCATCCCTGAAAAGTTCATTTGGGTAGGAATTTTTTTTTTTGCAATACATGTATTTTTCGACTATTTTCCTAGACTATCAGTAAAGATAGAATTCTTATTTGCAATTAATTGGAATGGAACTGTTTTTTACGATGATCATTATGAAAAACCTTATCCCCAGTATTTCATCATCCACTAATTTGAGGTAATTATACAGGGTGTAAAAAAATAGTGTACCGGACTTCGAGGGGTGATACACATATGAAATTAAGAAAAAAAGGCCCCATGAACATATGCCCTAAGATGTTCGCTGGAGAAGTGACAGCCCTTCAAACGGTAGATGACAATAATAGATTTTATTTATTTTCAAGAACAGTTGCAAACTATTTTCCTCAAAATTTGGTATTCTCGCATACATTTCGATGCCAAAGCGAATGGTGATAGTGAAAAAAGTCCTAACAGTTCTGAGAGGGTAGTTTCCATGAGGGTAGAGGGTAGTTACTCACAAAACAAAAAAGTATCTTAGGGCATATGTTCATAGGAACTTTTTTTTAAAATTTTCATATAGGTATAGTATCACCCCTCGAAGTCTGGTACACTAATTTTTTACACCCTGTATATTTTCTGTCATCTAAAACCTAAAAGTTTAATTGTACCTAATCGACTTTATTTTTTATAAAATCAATTTTTACTTGGTTACTTAAATCAGCGATATCAAATAGGTATCATTCAAATGTCTGTGGCAGTAGTCGGAACCAGAATTTTGGCAGATTGTTTATTGACTTCATGATATTATTATCTACTGTAGAGATTAATCGAATGCAAACCCGAATCCACAAAACCGAAAAAAAAAAGAAAGACTATGCTTACCAAGAAACAAATTCGAGAATGTGCATATGATGCCGGATTCAGTTAATAAGTGAGAAAAGTCGTCAAACAACAGAAATATTGGTGGGCAACAACGCAGCAATTCCAGTAGTTTATTGTGGTGATGTCAAGATTGGCACAATACACACTAAATTATTAGCAGTAGCTGAATTATTGGCTGAACATTTGGTCAAAAAAGTTTTATACCTAAGGAAGAAGATGAAAGATGATGAGGCGATGCCGTCGAAGGTCTAGAGTGGACTGAGAAGATAGATATTGGAAAGTAAAACTGTACAACATGATGTCAAGGTAAACAGTATAGATTAACTTTTCCAAAGGATGTCAAGCGCCAAGAAAATATACCTAGGCTAGGCTGGGTCTTTATAACGCATAGTGATCATCAATATTTCTGTCTCTATTCGCTTTTCCTCTCCTTCGATTTTGATAACAGAGAAAAAGACAGCAACAATTGCGATAGCGAGGAGGTTCAAGATATTTTTCTTATCTAGGAATAACTATAGGTACTTATTTAAAGTATGGATTTGTTTATTTTTTGAAGTCCAAAAATCAAGTATCAGAACGTATTAAAAAAAAAGGAATCTTGTAAAAAACCAACAAGAGGCAGAGATAAAGATTTTGAGATATGATAATTGTGGTGAATTTATTAATAACTAGCTGACCCGGCGAACTTCGTACCGCCTGTGAATTATTAAATACCCATTAAATGTTGTGTTAACGTATCTATTAGCTGAATTAAATTCAGTTTTTTTCGATGGTGAATTTGGCTTTAGTTGAAAAAAATTAATGTTTACTCTCTGGATCAGAAGTAGTGATGTGAACAAGGGAACGTTCTGATTGTGCTTTCGAGAACATTCGCGAACGTTCGCGCACGAAAAAAAGTTTCGTGCTGAATATTACCTTCGGAGCACAATGAGCACGATAGAGAATATTCAGCACGTTCTCAGGCACGATCTTAACCAATAAAATCACATGACGCCATAAAGTAGAGATATTTTATGGAAGCTGTTGAAGGCGAAGATATATCGAATATTGAGCCCGAGAACCAGGAAGCAACTTAGCAGCAATAGTTATTTTTTTTGGGGGGCAAAGGTAGCGTTGTACTGGAATATACTTAAACTAAAATCACCATTTTATTTTATTATCAAAAAAAAAAAGAATCCTAATGATAATTGTATGTTGAAGTTTCACAGAAAACCCCAAATTAGAATAATTATTGTTATCAAACATGACACAAGACACAATTCACAAATTATGTGATTAATTATGTATTAAGTAGGTATATTTTCTTAAGAAGTTTGAGAACTTTTAGCACATTTGTCAAGAATTTTCAGAATATTCAGAACTTTCACGAGAAATTTGGGAATTTCGGGAAATTTGAGAAAAATCAGAATTTATTTAGAAAAATGTTTTGTTTTATTCAGCTTCTGATAAAAAGCATAAATTCTCGGGTCCTGCTCGTTTTTGCTCGTTTATTCTCGTTAATTCTCAATCGTGCTCGGAGAACGTTCTCCTAAAATACTTGCTCGAGCATTTTACATCACTAATCAGAAGCCACCTAAAATTAAAATTTTAAATCATCCCTTTTTAGGCTTTTGAGCATTATTCTTGTAAAGTGTACCACCAAATAAATAAACTCCGGCACAGGAATGTCCAAAGAATGTGAAGAAAACAAAAAAAATCTCCAGCGCAGCCCTGTTTCACTCTATCTGCACTGCATGCACTGCACTACTCCATCTGTTCTACTCTATCTGCACTATTCTATCTGATCTACTCTTTCTGCACCACTCTATCTGATCGGAATAGTGGAATAGTTCTGTTCGGAATAGCTCTGGTTCCTGAGCAGCATTGTTCTACTGTATCTGCAATGAAATTACCGCGCAACGGCGAGCTTCGTTCTAGGTATCAGAGATGGCGCCGTATACAAAATGGTTTGCGATGAAAATGTGGCGGTAAACTTGGTATCGGTTATAAGAGATGGCGCAGTATGTGGGCTTAGTGATTTTTTTTCATAAATAAGTAAAATATAAAAAAAATAAGTAATTTTGTTTTTTGGATTTTTTTGATTTATTCTTTTAGTAGGGACAAAAACAAATCCAATAAAGCAAAAATCATAAAAATCAGTTCAGCCGTTCTCGAGTTATAAGTGCTAGAACCAACACAACTGTGTTTTATATATATATATAGATGAGATGAATACTTACCCTAAGGAAGGTGACATATTTCACCAGCGAACAAACTATTATACCCTAGAACAAAACAGAGTTTCGGAACTGGAAAGTTGAACCATACTATATAGTACACTATGGTGTCTTTTAGTTAGGACAAACTTCAAAGAGGGGTTTGGGCAGAGGCTCTGTCAACGTCAACACTGCCGGCTAAACTAAATGTGAAAAAAA